TCCTACTGTGTGAATCAGGATAGACAAAAACAAAAAAAGTACAAGAAAGGACTTCTTCGGCTGCGGATCGGCATGAAAGAGAAGCAGCTCACCATAGAAGTCCCCAAGCGTGCTCACTGATGCGCACCAGGATGATGTCCAGATCCACCTGCCTCAAATCCTGTACATTTAAGTACAGAAGCGTAGTATGAGTACATAAACCACATGTACTCAGTAAGTATCCCGTCTAATCTCGAAGAAGTAGAGACGAGAGGTCGACTTGATACTTACTAAGGTCAAGATAATATAATAATAAAGTAAGATATACAGCATGAAGAATTTCCAATAACACAAGTTTAAGAGAAGACTCATATTCATGTTCTTGACATAATTAAACTACCAGTTTCTTCCTTTTTTCATATTAAACAAGTGATCATGTCATATCTAAACGTAAGCATATAAATCATGCACAATCATGCCGAGGTCGACGGCCCGCTCCAACAGAAAATAAATTGTGCACTACCGAGGGTCGAACGGCACGAACCATAGATGCATCTATTCTCACCGAGGCGATCGGCCCGGTCCATAATCATCAAGAAAATATCAGGAAAGCACATAGGCTCAATTACATAAAAGGGAATTCCTACCAAGACTCAACAAACTCATAAGTTCACTTTTCATTTCCTCAAGTCTCTAGCGAATCATAAATGATCATATTGGCAATTTAAAACAAGAAATATTCNCGTTTTGGGAGTTTGGGGCTCGACCGCTTCTGCGGTCTGGGGGCCGCATAGGCGGAACCGCTTCTGCGGTCCCTGGACCGCTTTTGCGGTTTCCCCTGGCATGCTCGTTCTCCTCTTCTGCGATCTAATGACCGCATCTGCGGTCCCGCTTCTGCGGTCCAAGAACCGCAGATGCGGTTATGACAGAAGCAGCAAGCTTCAGTCATTTTCCAAATTCTAACTTCACTCGAGCCTCGCTCGTTTGATGCTCGGGGCTCCTGTGCCCCGCCCGAACATATCGACAAGTCTGAAATCACGAGGCGGACCTACTCGAACCCTCGAAACACTCAAAATGACGTTAAATCGAGGAATCAACCCCAAAACCAAATGAATCAAATCATTGAACTTCAAGTTCTTAATTCTCCTCCAACGGGTCAAAACGCCCTTAAACTACTCGGATTGACACCAAATTTTACGGGTAAGTCTTAAATGATATTTCGGACTTGTACCAAGTTTCGAAATCGAAATCCGAACCCGATAACTATGAAAACAATAATTTCTTAGTTTATTTAAACCTTTGAAACTTTAACTTAACAATTTCACATAAAAATTCATTACTCGGGCTAGGGACCTCGGAATTCGATTCCGGGCATACGCCCAGGTCCCATATTTTCCCACGGACCCTCAGAAATTATCAAATCATTATTCCGGGTCCGTTTTCTCAAAATGTTGACCGAAGTCAAACTTGACCTTTTTAAAGAAACTTAAAGAAGCAACTAGACTTATTCTTGCTCAAAACTCTTCTAACTTCCGAACCACCCGTCCCCGCAAGTCATAAATTAGCTAAAGCAAGTGCAGAAAGTCTTATTTAAGGGAACGGGGTTCAAAAATGCAAAACGACCGGTCGGGTCATTACATTACCAGCAGAGGTTAATTCAAAGTTCAATGCTTTCAATGCCCAAAAAGCTTTGTGTTCTAATTCAACTGGAAGATGACAAGCTTTTCTGAAGACTAATCGATATGGAGACGTACCAATTGGTGTTTTAAACGCCGTTCGATATGCCCACAGTGTGTCATCTAATTTTGAAGCCCAGTCTTTTTTTGAGATTCCAACCATTTTTTCAAGTATTCTTTTTAATTCGCGGTTAGAAACCTCAACTTGCCCTTGTGTTTGAGCATGATATGGTGCTCCTTTTTTGTGAATCACACCATATTTTGACAATAATGCTAAAAATTGTCTATTCATGAAATGAGACTCTTGATCGCTAATGATAACTCGTGGTGTACCAAACCTGGTAAAAATATTTTTCTTAAGAAAATTGCACACAGTTTGAGCATCATTTTTCCTTGTTGGGATGGCTTCAACCCATCTTGAAACATAATCCACAGCCACAAGGATATATGTATCCCCCAAACATCAAATATTTCACATACCTGTATTGATTGCAATGGCATCTCATCTCTCTTAGTGATATTTCCTGTTCTTTGACACCTGTCACACTGTGCAACGTAGGCACGAGCCTCCATAAAAAGTGTTAGCCAGAAAAATCCAACCTCTAGAACTTTAAAGGCAGTTCGATTTGCTGCATAGTGTCCTCCAACTGCTCCATCGTAACAATGATACAAAATTTTGGTCATTTCTTCTTCTGGTACACATCTTCTGATAATATTATCTGCACAAATTTTAAACAAGTAAGGGTCATCCCACAAATAGTATTTAGCATCAGATATCAACTTTTTCCTCTGTTGGTAAGTGAGATTTGGGGTGTCCATTTTCCAACCAAGTAATTTGCAATATATGCAAACCAGGGTGGTTGAGTCACAACTGAGTTGATAGAAAAAATATGTTCATCAGGAAACTCTTCTTTATATCACATAACTCAAGTGGGGGGGTTCTCTAATCTAGACAAATGGTCAGCTACCTGATTCTCTGTTCCCTTTTTATCTTTTATTTTGAGCTCAAATTCTTGGAGAAGTAAAATCCATCTTAACAATCTAGGTCGCGCATCTTTTTTTGCTAAGAGGTATTTTAGAGCCGCATGATCAGTAAAAACAGTGACCTTGGTTCCTATCAGATAGGAGCGAAACTTATCAAATGCAAATACCACTGCTAGTAGTTCTTTTTCAGTCGTGGCATAATTTAGTTGAGCCTTATTCATTGTCCTGCTGGCATAGTAAATTGGACGAAAAATCTTATCTTTTCTCTGGCCTAAAACAGCTCCAACTGCTGTATCACTAGCATCACACATGACCTCAAAAGGTTGGTTCCAATCAGGGGACACAACTATAGGGGCAGTTGATAATTTTTCTTTAAGGGTGTTAAGGCTTTCATACATTCACCTGAAAATTCAAACTTAACATCTTTCATTAAAAGGTTAGTCAGTGGTTTTGAAATCTTTGAAAAATCTTTTATGAACCGTCTGTAAAACCCTGCATGACCTAGAAAGCTTCTAATGCCTTTAATAGTTGTGGGAGGGGGTAATCCTGCTATAAGATTAATTTTAGCCTTATCAACTTCTATCCCTTTAGAACTGATTTTATGTCCTAAAACAATTCCCTCTGTAACCATAAAATGACATTTTTCCCAATTAAGAATTAAGTTTGTCTCTTCACATCTCTTAAGAACTAAGGTTAAATGGTGAAGACAATCCTCAAAACCCTTGCCGAAGAGTGTAAAATCATCCATGAAAATTTCAAGAAATTTTTCAGTCATGTCAGAAAAAATTGCTGACATGCAACGCTGAAACGTGGCAGGAGCGTTGCACAAACCAAATGGCTTTCTCCTATATGCATATATAGTTTCCTAGTTGCTCAACCGACTCAATAGTTTCCTAGTTGCTCTCGAACCATTCCTACTCAGCGCGTTCTGAAAAGCTGCGACCGCCATCCCTTCGCATACGTTCGACAAAGTCATCCTTACTCGGTTGAACCGGGCGAGGAAGTCCCTCAGTCTCTCTCCCAGAGATTGTTTAATAGCAAATATGTCTTTCACTCTTGCCTCTGCTTTCTTGGCTCCGGCGTAGGCCGTTACGAACTTATCAGCCATTTCTTAAAAGGTTTCTATGGAGCATGCTGGCAGTTGCGAATACCAGGTTATTGCCTCTCCCGTGAGGGTCTCGCCGAACTTCTTCAGCAGGATGGAAGACAGGTGTTCTTTGGCGAGGTCGTTGCTTTTTACGGTGGTAACGTAATAAGTCACATGATCTTCGGGGTCGGTTGTGCCATCATATATTCTGAGGTAAGGCAGCATTTTAACGGTTTTTGGTATAGCATGTGGGGCGGTGTCATCATTATACGACTGTTTGGCGAACCGTCCTGCATCCCTCTTTGGTAACAGATTAGGGGGGCCCGGTATTTTATAGACCCTTTCTTGGTGTTCTTTCATTTGGTCTCGGAGTGCCTTGTTTTCGTTCTCTCTTCCTTCCATCCTTTTCAAATGGCTGCAAGGGTGTTGTCACCTGCACTAACAATGACATTGTGAGTAATACCTGTCGTTGGAGCAAAAGGCTGGTTGCACTGCTCGTTCGCTTGTTGTATCATGCAAGTCCTTGCATTTTCTGTAGTCGTGTCTCGAGTGGGCCTGTTGAGTACGCTGACTAGCGTGTCAGTTAGCCACACTTCGAGGAGCTTTTTTATAGCTGGGGGCATCTCTTCTCCCACAGATGTGGATGTTCCCTTACCACGAGACTTTGTGATGCTGCAGTGAGGGGGAGGTGAACCATCTCGCCTGGGGGAAGCACTGGGCGTCGCGCCTTCGTCTTCCGTTTTGCAGCTTTCGTTGATGACGTTCATGAGGTTGGTCCTTCCTTCTTGGTTACCTGCCATGTTGGGATTTGTGTACATAAAAAAAGGAGATCTTGTTTTTTGCGACGTTAGTGACTCGTGTTAGTTGTAGATCTTGAAGAAACTAAAAATCTAACTAGGAAATCCCTAGAGACGGCACCAAATTGTTTGAACCAAATATATGAATCTTGGTTCAAATTATTAAATTTATATGATTATGGGTTAAACTTAGTTAACGATAATATTTCTAGATGTAGCTTTCGAGAAAATGACAAACGTCAGATAGATTTGGCTGAACGTTGATATTGGTATGTAATAACTATTCCAAAAAGCATGAGTAATAAGATAGCATTTAATAGCAATAAATAACAATAAATGGCACTTGAGTAAATGGGAGGAATGATTCACCCAATAAAGGATGCACTAGATGATTGTTCCTCTTGACAATGATGAGTGACAGATAAACCTTGAATTTTTGAATTATCCTTGGATCTGATGGAAAAACATAGAATAATATCGACCAGAATCCTTGGTGAAAAAGTGATATTTGTATCTTAGTAAAAGAGAGAGAATCTTTCTTGTCAAAGTGTGTTCTTACAAATAAAAATCACATGCCCCACATCATTGTCTCTTTTTCTATTTATACGAGACATATTCCTAGTAAACCCCAATAGTACAAGTACAGAGAATATCCAATGCTCACAGAGTGTTTCCTTTAATATCTTGTTTCAAAAATTAGCCGTTACAGCTTCATCGACGGTGCTCGACCTCGACCATGATTGACATCTCGACCGCAGCTCACGTCGACTCTTTGGCTATGAGCCTTGCTACTTCCTGATCCACCCCGACTAACGACGGCTCGAGAATCCTTTCCTTAGTATTATCTTATTTTAAATATTATAGGGCGAATTTCGACCCATACAATATCATGGACCTTCGTGACTTCTGTCTTGAGGAGAATGGGAATTGCAGAAGGTATCATTAAAACAATTCATTGACTAATCTTAAACAATTGGTATTCAGCATTACCAATGGTACTAGATGTGACTTTGGCACGAGTTCTTATTTGATACTAGTTCATTAAGAGCGATCACCTATACAACGATAATGATAGTAGTGAAAAAGAAAAACCAATATTACTAGCTCTCGTACGAAATTTGGACTCACATCCAATGAAAACAAGTAAAACAAGACTTTTGCTTGCAAGTAACAATACCATATGCCACAACTCCACAAGTAACTAACTACCAATTGGTAAATTACTTGAATATTGATAAACCTGGATTCTCAGAAGTGAATCCTCCATCAACAATAAAATTCTGGCCACTCACATACTTAGACTCATCACTTGCGAGGAAAAGAGCTGTTTCAGCCACATCATTCGGAGTAAGTGTAGCACCAATCAATGTTGAATACACATCAGAGGCTTTCTTACCATTCATCTTTAAGTAATCCAAAGCTAATGGTGTGAGAACAAAGTATGGTGATACACAGTTCACACGAATTCCATAACGTCCTAAATCCACTGCAGCATTCCTAGTGAGTCCTAACACACCATGTTTTGAACATGTATAGGCATGAGAACAACAACCACCTATGGTTGCAGTAATACTTGCAGTGGTAATTATGCTACCTCGGCCATTAGGAATCATTACTCGTGCTGCTTGTTTAGTTCCAAGAAATGTACCTGCAATGGGAAATTTTCACTTTTAGTCTTTACACATGCTGACGAATTCTAGTTGATTAAGCACTTTCAACCTTCAAGATGCATTTTTTATCTTTGTCTTTGTGAATCTTTACAAAATTTAACTTATTATTAAGTGTTAAAGTCACTCAATTAAGCATAGTTTTATGTTAAATTTGTAAAATTATTCTATATATTTGGGGGTAATATAGTTCTGAAAAATAATCTAATATAACAGATTTCCTACGTAACAACAACAACAATAAACCCAGTGTAATCTCATAAGTAGGTCTGAGACGCAGACCTTACCACTATCTTGTAAAGACAGAGAAACTATTTGCGATAGACCTCGGCTAAAGACAAGCATAACCACAACAGTAATGAAAAGAAATATGGTAGTGCAGAAGCCATGAAAAGAAGCAGGAACAACAACCAGATAATAAAATAACCGAAGCACAAGAAACAACCAGTAGTAATAATAGAGAGGCTGCTACCGATATACCCTCGGCTCAAGACAAGCATAATTATAGCCATGAAAAGAAATAAGGTAGTGGAGAAGCCATGAAAGAAGCAATAAAAACAATAAGATAATCGAAGCACAAGAAACAACCCGCGGAAATAAAAATCTAAGCAAAAAAGAAGATATACGAATAATATAGATATAGTGGGTAAGGGAAAGAAAGACGCTCGATTGTCTATTAGTCTTCTATACCTTAATTCTCGAGTTGTACACCCTCCTATCGAGTTAAATATGCTCGTCGATAAAGAAATCAATAAATATGCTTATTGATAAATCACAAGGACCAAAATCAAAATTTACCAACTATAAAAAAGTACAGTTATGCCGTACCTACGAGGTTAACACTAGTAACTTTTTCGAATTCAGATTTTTCATCATCAAGAATGTTGGATTTGATTATTCCAACTATACCAGCATTGTTGTACATGATGTCTAGCTTGCCATACTTGTCTACAGCAGTGTTCACGGCATTTTCCAGGTCTTCCTCTTTTGTAATGTCACAATGCACACATGTGGTCGATGTTTGATCCGAATCTTTGCAAACTTTTTGAGCCAACTCGTCTTGAATGTCTGCAATCACCACTTTGGCTCCATGTCTTGAGAAGAGTCTCGCAGCCGCTTCACCGATGCCACTAGCAGCACCTGTTATGACTGCAACCTTACCTTCGAGCCTAAAATAAATAACAATTGATGCACGTCAAATAAAAATTAGCTTTCAAATATTCTTTTTCAATTTCAATTTAAAAAAACTTCATTTTTTTTCAAACTTTAACCAAATTATGTCCAAATGATGGACGACTTACCTTCTAGCAAAATTTGAAGCCATGGAATATGTCAGACTTGAAACGTAACTGAAAATGATTTCACAAACTGTGATAATCCTTCTATAGCATCCTCTTATATAGAAATTGTCCTAACATGTATGATTCCCCGCAAGTTCTTAAAAGGGCATTACTTTAAAGTATAAAAAATACCTTCTGAATGACGACAATATTATTAGGCGTGATGGATAAAGTGATCTATTTTTTAAATGCTTTGAATGAGTACTGTTGGGAGACTTTCACAGCTAGAGCGGTTCCTCTTTGTAATAATTCTTATTGACTAGAATACCTAAAGAATTATTAGTTTCCTCCTTTTCTATCCACCGGGCATATATATATATATATATATATATATTGTACTTTTTCAAATTGACCAATATTTTAGATCATCTTTTTCGAGTCAAAATTTGCAAAACACTTGGCTGAAACTCCATTATTTGGGCTAAATTTTTTTCATTTGGCCAAAAAGAAGTGAGTTCCAAGTAATTTTTTTACAAATTTGATCCCCCCCCCCCCCCCAAAAAAAAAATACACAATAGTCATTGCATATAAAGAAGAAATACACTGTTGGTACTCTATTTTGGCTAAAATAGAATTCTAGGCTTCCCGCCACTTTTTAAAAAAAAAACTTATTTATAAATTTGGCGAAAAAAGAAAAAATATATACTTGAAAACAATAGTCATTGAATCTATTGAAGAAATGAAAAAAAATACAAAGTTGGATAACATAGGCATTGCATATTAACATGAAGCAGAAAAAGTGCATAATTGAACAAATAATCATTATATATGTTTATGTGACAACTAACAGTTGGAAAATATCTTATATGTAAGTTCATTTTTTATTTTTCTCACTCACATGTGATTTTAGTATATCAGGATGCTACTTTTAGTTCGTTGAAAGAACTATTATGATTTTATTTTCTCTAAATTCTAACCCTTAAAATGACATGGTGAAACCTTTCTTAAACTTTTATATTATGTTAATTTTTTGTTTTACTTTTCTACCATTATAAACATACAAAACCAGGACAGAGAAAACGGTTGATTAAATATGTGGGTATATATTTTTTACTATAAATATGAGGTGATCAACAACTCCAAAGATTGGGTCAGACTTGTAATAAACAATACACGACAAAATAATAAGCAAAGAAAGAAGATAAATACATGGTTTTGATAACAATATTAAGTTGTATCACAAATCATCTTTTAGCAATTCGATTGTATAGTTAAAAATAATGATAATAATGACTATGCCTCAATACCAAGCAAGGTTGATGAGTTATATGAATTATAGTTATATGAAACGGAATTAAAAAGAACTGAGAAGTAAATTTCTAACAGGAATAAAAGTGATCAAGTATAAATAGATTCTAAACTATTCAATATTTATATCTTATTCCAGTTACTCCCAAAACCAACCAACCCAAATGCAGACAAATCCTTGTTATGTAGGGATTTAAACAATATGAAAGATTCTAAACTTATACTCCATTCGTTTTAAAAGGATTGTCTTATTTTGACTTGGCATAAATTTTAACAAAGAAGGGAAGACTTTTAAGATATGCGGTCTTAAATAAGCCATAACATTTGTGTGGTTCTAAAACTTTTAAAACTTGTGGTCTTAAATCTGTCATAACATGTGTGTGGCTAAAAAACTTTCTATTAAGGAAATATTGAAAGGTGCCAATCTTTTTGGAATAGACTAACAATAAAATAGTACTCTCTCCGTTTCAATTTAGATGAGGTAGTTTGACTGCACAAGAAGTTTAAGGAAAAAAAGATGGCTTTTGAAACTTGTGGTCTTAAGAGTTTAAGGGTTAAAAACTTTGTGGGTCATGACATTTTTTTGGTTATAAAAGTTTCTCATCAAGGGTAAAATGAATAAAATAAAGAGTTTAAAGTTGAATTATTTTCAAATTTAAAAATGTGTAATTTATTTTGGAACAACAAACTAAAAAGGAAAGTAACTCATCTAATTTGAAACGGGGACTACTAAACACTTTGAAATATAGGGAGCAGACAACAATTACTCTTTGAATATGGAGTGACGCACTCAGAGTTAGTTGGCGATGTGAGAATGGTCTTTTCAAGTAGTAGTTGGCGATGTGAGAATGTGCTTTTCTAGAGTCTGGAATTTTTTACTAGAGTGATCGAAATGTGTGGAAAAAAAATTAGTTACCAAAATATTATCACGACCTATTTTACCTCTCCAAAAGGTGTCGTGACAACACCTAATCTTTACGACTAGGTAAGTTTATTATTGCGGAAAAATAAAAGAAACATAACAATAGAGCCAACATAATGATTTAACAAGCAAGGATAGTGCCACTCGGCTCATATACAATACATTACTCCCAAAACCCAGAATGTCGCTAGTCACAAGCATTCGATAAGTCTATAGAGCTCTATATGAAAGGGTCTGAAGAAGACAAGGAAAATCTCTACGTACGCGAGCAGAGGTACCTTGAAGTCTCCTGAATCTGCAAGCGCGCACTAAATCCGAGGCTGATAGCTCGTACCTGGACCTGCACACGAAAAATATATGCAGGAAAGGGGCATGAGTACACCACAATGGTACCCAGTAAGTGCCAAGCCTAACCTCGGTTGAGTAGTGACGAGGTCAGGTCAGGGCCCTACCGGTGTAAATATAATGAATTGAGAAATAAGAGATATAAATATATTCTACAGTAAAGCAGTTAAAGAAGATCACAGAATTTAACAATCAAGGGAGCCCACGGCTCAGAACAAGAAAACACAACAAGGAATCTCCAGGGATACCGTCCCGTAGTTCTGAAATAATTATGTAGTACAGGGGGATCTTCCAGAATACGTCCGTAGTCCCAAAATAAATATGTGTGCTGGGGGATCTCCTGTAATACGTCCGTAGTCCCAAAGTAAATATGAATGACAGGGGGATCTCCCGGAATACGTCCGTAGTCCCAAAGTAAATACGCAATGCTGGGGGATCTCCCGTAATATGTCTGTAGTCTCAAAGTAAATATGCAGCTCAGTTACAGTATCGAATTATACAGTTTAGACTAAGCACAATCAAGGAAAATAGGGATCTACCTAAACATGTGATGATAGGCTATAATTACGTATTTTAGTCGTTTATTACATTCTAATTTACTGCACTTTAATTGAGTTTGAGCTTTAATCGCTAGTGTTTTGCACTAATGGTGTGTTTTATGCCTTGTAGGAGTGATTCCGAGCTATGTAGATGTTATGGAATGAATTCGAGTGATCTGGAGCTTTAAAGTTTGAGTAAAAGTTTAAGAAATTAAGCCGGGATCGTGTTTGGGGGTCAACGGATGATAGTTAGAGCGAACGAAGATTCCAGTAGGCATATTGTGCACTGTCTAGTAAAATAGATATAACATTTTGCTCAGAATTCCATTTGGGCTTCACAATATATGGTTGGAAAGCTAACTCAAAGGGCTACAACTTTTATCTTTTACGTTTTTCCAAATTCTAAGCGGAACAGGGTGAAAATGCGTGTCATCTTCCCCATCTAAAGGCCAAGAAGTGCAGAGTGAAAAAATTATTACTTGGCCTTGTTATCATTGTAGCCCCACCACTGGAGCATAGCCGCAAACTGAATGCCATGTTAGGGGTACAATTCATAAGTTCAAGGTGGAGGAAAAAGTGGTTCACGTCGTGCCGCGACGTTAAATTAGGCGCTTGTTGGGAGGCAACCCAACTTTACTGCTTCTTTTATTTTTGATTTTTTTTCTTATTGTATTATTTTTGTAGTGTTGTTTTATTTTGTAGGATTTGAGCATAGAAGAAAAGCCATAGGAAGTGTGCAAAAGTGAGCCATGTGGTTGGAACTAAGTGTGGGGTGCCCGCACAAAGGATCATATCTGGGAGAAGTCTGAGTACCCCATGAGCTGCTAGTGCTTCGGCCTTTGGCCTTTCAGGGAGTTTCTTGTCCACCCTTGTTATTTTTGCTTTATTTGTGCATTGGGGACATTGCACCCTTTTAAGTGTGGGGTGGGAGAATTCCTTTGGATAATTAGCTTTTTAGTATTTTAGCTTCTTATTTTTTTTTCTTCATAGTTGTGTAGTATTTTAGTAGATTAATTTTTTTTTTAATGCGGAAAATTAAAAAAAATTGAAAAAGGTCGAAAAATTAGACTTTTCCCGACGATGGATCTCCTAGACGGTTTTCTTGAGGGATTAAAGTCTAAACAAAAATCCAAAAATATGTCTTTTAGTTTCTTTTAGGTAGTAATAATCCCCTGGGGTTTTTCTTTGTGCCTAGGTTCTTTTCCATGGGATGTAGTTTGAACCGGGTAGTAGTTTTTTCTTTTTTATTTTTTAATTTTTTTTAGAGTATATTAGAATTTAGGGAATAAATGGAGGAAGAATGATGAATCTAGGCGCCCTTGACTTGTTTGATAGTAGCATATTTAGGCTTTGGCATGTGTAGTATCTTCCCTATGATTTGAATTTATTGATGATGCCTTGCTTACTTGGATAGCATGTTTTGTGGCGCCTATGTCTCATTTTCTTGACTTATGTTCACTTTGTGCTTAATGCTTAATATCTCGTGACTCCGTGAATACTTGCATTTGTTTGAGAGTCGGAATGGGATCGTCCTTAGTGAGTCATGTGCCATGTGTGGTGAGGTTTTTGTGTAGTCTATGTATTGTACTTGTGTCTAGAACTTGCCCGGTTTGTGAGTCGAAGCGAAATTTTAGGTGATGCTCGGTTTGAAAATAATTTTAGGCTTCCTTTGATCTTTTTGAGCTTAATTGCTTACCACAAATAAAATTTATCCCTAGTCAACCCTTTTGAGCCTATAGACTTTTATTTGGCACCCACATTGCAAGCCTATACCCTTTTTATTCTTAATTGACATTGTTTTGATCCATTTTCCTCTTAAAGCACTTTAATTGTGAGTTGAACGCTAAAAGAAGTAAGAAGGAACGAAGTGTGGGGTGGCTTTTGAGTGGAACCAATAAAAGGAAGAAAGGTGCACTAGTTTTTTAAAATAATACAGCACTAGCGGAAATTGAAAAAAAAAAGAATAATCTGGAAAAAAAAAAAGAAAAAGAAAAATAGAGATGAATAAATTGTTGTCTTGTTTGCTAGTGGGTATGAATTAATGTAGTGCTTAAA